TGTAAAACATGTTACTGTACTGAATACTGTAGGCAGTTGTAATACAATAGTATTTTGTATCTAAACATACAAAAGACACAGTAAAAATACAGTACAAAAGAAAAAAATGGTACACCTGTCTGTAGAGGACACTTACCATGAATGGAGCTTGTAGAACTGGAAGTTGCTCTAGGTGAGTCAGTGAGTGAGTGGTGAGTGAATGTGAAGGCCAGGACATTACTGTAGACTATAAATATTGTGCATTTAGGCTACACTATATTTAAAGGTATTTTCCCTCAATAAATTAACCTTAGCTTACTGTAACTTTTTGCTTTATAAATTTTTAATTTTTTTAACTTTTCAACTCTCGTAATAATATCTTAAAATACAAACATATTGTACAGCTGTACAAAAATATTTTCTTTATAGCCTTATTCTGTAAGCTATTTTGTATTAAAAAAAATTTTTTTTTACTTTTTTGTTAAGAATGACATAAACACACACATTAGCCTCGACCTACACAGGCTCAGGATCATGAATATCACTGTCTCCCACCTCCACATCTTGTCCACTAGAAGGTCTTCTGGGGCAATAACATGTCATGGAGCTGTCACCTCCAATGATAATGCGTTCTTCTGAATACCTCCTGAAGGACCTGTCTGAGGCTCTTCTTGAGGAGATGTCATTCTTTTCAGAAATATGTCCATGGTGGTTTTCTTGGTTTACTTTTTTCATCATAAACTTGCTTGTGAACAGATAATGCACCATGAACATTCCTCTCAGTGAAAACCTTTAAGAGTCATGGTCCATGTTTTCAAACTTTTTAAGGAGCTTGTTGAGGTCTGCAAAAGTTGCTAAACCCATCACTATGAATTTCCTTGGGGGTGCATCTTCTCTTTCTTCTCCTGAAATTTCCTTTTCTCTGGCTTCTCAGCTATGCATTCCTGTTCCAGTTGCAACAACTGCTCATTAGTCAATTCCTCTGGAACCACTTCTAGGAGCTTCTCAATGTCATCTTCATTCATACCCACGTTAGAGGTGTTTGCCATCTCAGCCACAGCCTTGTTGATTTTTGCAACCTCCTCATTTTGGCAACTCCATTGAAGTCCTGCACAGATCTCTGGAATGTCTTCTTTCAGATGCCATTCATACACTTCTTGGTGACATCAACCCAAGCCCATGCAAGGTTCTTGATGCAGTCATCAGTGTAATCCTCCAGAATTGCATTAATGTCTTCTCAATGTCTTCCTTAGTTGCAACAATAGCCTGGGCAAAGGTAGCCTCAGGCAATAGGCTTTAAAAGCTGCTATAACTCCTTGGTCCATTGATTGGATCAAATGTGTTTGGAGGGAGAAACATGATTTTGATACTGGGATGCAGATCACCAATAAAAATGTCTAGGCGCATTATCAACAATAAGCAAAATCTTGAAAGGTGTGTTATTCTCCAAACAATACTTCTCTATTTTTCTGGTGTAACAATTCAAGAGGACATCTTGGAAAGAAAAGTGGGGTCATCCCTGACTTCTTATTGCTCCTGTAGTACCTGGCAGTGTGTGCTTACTGATATGCTTGAAGGCCCTGGGGTTCTTTCATTTATAACCGACAACATTGCTCCCAAGCAAGACTGTTAGCCTGTCCTTTTAAAAGCCTTGAAACCTGGCATTGACTTGACCTTTTATGCATAAAAGTCCCTTCAGGCATTTGTTTGCAGAATAGGAAGGTTTCATCCATATTGAATATTTGCTCTGGCAAGTAATTTTCCACCACGATCTTCTACCTAGACTTTCCAAAAATTCTCCAGCTGCCTTCACATCAGTACTTGCAGACTCACCACTCACTTTCACATTATGGATGAACAATGATTCTTGAATTGTTTGCCAAGAGCTAGCAGTAAATTCAACATCGTAGTCGGGTCCAGACTTTACTTTCTACATCACAAACAAACTTTTTGCTTTGGCTGTGATTGTAGTGATGCTGAGAGGGATACACTTCCATGTCCGGTTTTTAATCCAGATTGTTTAAGTTTTCTCATGTCTCATGTAGATCCTTCTCAAATTTTTGTTAGTTTCATTGCCTTCAATGAAGAAGATCCTTTAACAGCTTTGTGTCACTTTATTTTTGTTCTTCAAGATCATAGCTACGGTGAAATGAGAGCTGTGAGCAATAACCATCACTGATTTTCCACCTCTGTAGTCCTTAATCACTTTTAATTTTGTTTCCAGGTCAATCACTCAATATGGCAACATTAACAATGGATTTTGTACACTTAGGGGCCAGGATGAACAAAACAACATGAAATTAAATTAAGCATAAGAAAATAATGCAATCAAGAAACACAGTAAACACAAGATGTATGAGGCTGCTGCCAGCCTAACACAGCATACTGTTTTTATAGCAAGCTTTGTAAGTAGAAAGAGTACTCCCTAAAATAATGATTAAAAATATGGCCAACAGATACATGAAAAGATGCTTAACATCACTAGTTATAAGAGAATGTAAATCTAAATCACAATGAAATACCCCCTTGCCCCTGTTAGAATGGATTTTATCAATAAGACAAGAAATCACAAGTGTTGAAGAGGATGTAGAGAAAAGAGAACCCTCACACACTGCTGGTGGGACTCTAAATGGGTGCAGCCACTATGGAAAACAGTATGGAGGTTCCTCAAAAAATTAAGATTGCTTATGACCCAGCAATCCTTCTTTTGGGTAACAACCCCCAAAATTTGAAAACATCTATTCATAAAGATATATGTAGCTCTATGTTCATTGCAGCATTAGTCACAAATAGCTAAGATATGGAAACAACCTAAGTGTCCTTTGACAGATGATTGGATAAAGAGGATGTGGTACATATATACAATGGAATATTACTCTGCCATAAAAAGATTAAATATTGCCATTTGCAACCACATGGATAGATCTTGAGAGTATTATGCTAAGTGAAATAAGTCAGATGGAAAAGGACAAGAAAAGGACATGATTTCACTCATATGTGGGATATAAAACAAAAAGCAAAAAGCAAAAAATGAACGAACAAAACAAACTCATGGACACAATAGAATGGTGCTTGCCAGATAGAAAGCCGTCAGAGCCATCATGAAAATTCCAGCAAATGAAATAAAACTATTTCTATTTTTAAAATAGTAGAAAAAGAGTGAGTGTGCAAGCACACACCAAGAAAATTCCAGGAAAAAGAATGAAAGGAGAGACCATGTTCTATCATAAAGTAAAAAGTACTACACGCAGGCATAGAAATTAAAACTATGTGGTATTGTCGCAGAATAGATAGTCAAACAGTAGAAAGTCCTGAAAAATCTATGTCTATGTAGATATTTAGTTTCTATAAAGTGGCATGTCAAATAGTAGATCAAGAATGGCCTATTCAATAACATGTTAGAAATTGATAAGCCATGCCACACAACATACATAAAGTTAAATTTTAAGATGGGCTAAAGATCTAAAGAAATTAAAAACAGGAATGAGGAAATAATTGGTTTGATGTGAGATTTTAAAACTATGGTACTAGGAATGTACTTTGAAAGACACCATAAACCAAATTGAAAGACTGGAGAAAAATTTTTTTCTATCATGTTTTAATACATGATATCCAAACTCTATTAAGAGTTTTTAGTATCAGTAATAAGTTAAAATAATAAAAATGTACAAAGGATATGAACATAAATCTCAAGGATATGAAGAGCTACCCCTCTAAGCAGAAAAGTGAGAAATCAATAAGGTAAAATTCTCATTCCTCAAAGTGTCAAAAAATGTGAAGTTTTATAACAGGTGTTAGCCAAGCAGAGAGATTTAAACACATGTCTAATTATAAGTAGGATTTAAATTTGAAGAAGCTTGTTTGGGAAGACTTTGGATTTCAGTCAGAGTTCTAAATGGATAGGCCATTGAGCAACTTAATTTCTAAGAATCTATCATAAAGAATAGTCACACATGTGGACAAAGATGTGTAATGTATAGATATTCATTTGTAACCAATTAAAATTAAGATTGAACCAGTGTTCAGTATGCAATAGGTTAAATTATGGTAACTCTTACTGTGGAATGCTATGCATCTGTTAAAAAGAGGTGGGTCTGTAGGTTCTGACATAGAGCTCCAAGAGCTATTAAGTGGAAAAAGCAAGCCATAAAGAAACCATAATCCCATATATGTTAAATTATATTATATATTTAAATATACACTTACATATGTTTGCATTGTGTATATATACTGGGGTTGCCCAAAAAATGTATACACATGACTTGTATTCATCTTTTGTTATTGGTATATATTGAGTATTACAATTTTAATACAGTTTATTTCTTTCTTAAAATGTGTATACATTTTTTTGGCATCCTCTGTATATAATATATAATAATAGCTATCATATTGAGTTGCATTGTTCTAAACATACTAAAAAGAATGACCTCATTTAATTCTCACAACCTGTTTCCATTGTACAGATGAAGAAACAAGCACAGAGAAATTAAGTAACTTTCTCCAGTTGAGATTTAAACCCAGACATTCTGACTCCTAAATAACCATTAAGCTACACAGAGAAAGAAAACCTGAAGGAAGCAATGTTGAAAGTGCTTACACTATGAAGAGGAGGGGAGTGAGAGAAGGGTAAATTACAAATATTTAATATATGTTTCTATGTTGTTTGAATCTTTTACAAAATGTGTTCATCATTTACTTATCCATTTTTTAAAGGGGACAAAAAGTTTGGTGAAAACACTTCTGTTATGTAAGCAAATTTTAAAATAATTTGTATAATAAGTAAGACAAAAATGTAGAGAACTTTTTTCCTTAGGGCATTTTCCAGGTTATTAAACAGAGTGAGACTTCTGAGGTTTTATCTCTTATCATCTTTACATTTTTGTTATTATCTTGGTGAACTATGTACGATTTCACTATTGTAGATAACCCAGTTAAATATTAAGTGTTAATAATCACTTAGTATTTTACAACCACAGGTGTCATTATAAAGTAAGGATTCCACATTCCTCCTAACAGTTCCTTGAAAATGGAGCTGCCTTGGAATTTAGCCTGCATTGTCCTCCTAAGTTTTTCGTGCTGGGGGTTAGACTGGGAATCTGATAGAAATTTCATGTCAGCCGCTGGTCCTCTTACCCATGACTTGCTGCACAACCTGAGTAGTCCACTAGGAAACCAGGGTTCTAACTTTGTGGCAGGGGACAAAGACATGTATGTTTGTCTCCAGCCACTGCCCACTTTCCTGCTGGAGTACTTCAGAAGTGTTCATGCCAGAAAGGTCACCCATTATAAAGTATTCCTGCCATGGGCACAACTTCTCCCCACTGGAAGCTCCAAGAAGCCAGATGAAAAAACAGTGCAGTGTTACCGGCGACTCCTTGAGGCCATCAGGACTGCGCAGCTTCAGCCCCTGGTCGTCCTGCACCACCAGACCCTCCCCACCAGTGCCATCCGGGGACGTGAAGTCTTTGCTGACCTTTTTGCTGACTATGCTGCATTTGCCTTCCAGTCCTTTGGGGACCTCGTTGAGATCTGGTTCACTTTTAGTGACTTGGAGGAGGTGATAACGGAACTTCCCCACCAGGAATCAAGATCTTCACATCTCCAGACCCTCACTGATGCCCACAGAAAAGTCTATGAGATTTACCACAAAAAATACACTTCTCAAGGTGAGTACACATGACCATGCTGGCAGACCCACTAACAGCCTTTATCAAACCCACCTTCTCCTGTCCTCCTTAAAGCAGCACTTAGCATTTCTTCCCACTCACCTTCAATACTCCCATCATACCTATTCATTAGTGAGAAATTATTAGTGTATTGAAGATTTCCCAATGGAGATAGATAGAAGTGGCTTATACTGATTGCACAGTGTGCAGCACTCCTTATAAAAGGTATCTTTTAAGTACCCCTTGCCCAGTTTTGAGTCTGTGCTGCCACCAATTATCTTCCAGTCCTTTTTCCTTATCCAGTCCTGCCTCTTGACTCTTTCAAGGCTTCAAGATGGCCCATCCAACCTCACCCTTCCCTTTTTCTTATGCAAAGCCACTTATACATTCTAGCTGCAGCTTGCATTCCAGCAGAGGAGACAGACAAATACAAAGATAAAATAATGATATACTGATAGGTAGAGAGGAGAGCATAATTGCAATTGCCCATATTCCTGCTTCATAGCTAACTCAAGGTTCTCATTCAGTAGGTCTGGGCAGGATCAGGACACTTGTGATTTTAATAAATTCCCTAAGTGAATCTGAGGTACACCAATTTTGAGAATCAGTTTTGGCTTTTCACCCCATTTGGTGTCCACAATGGCTTAAAGGTACAAGGCCAAACATTTTAAATTAAAAAACAAAAATTACAGAAAAGCTGGCATTTTAGCAAATAGAACACATTCACCATGTTTTAAAAAAAGATGTTAAAGTAATAAATTTCCATTTACTGCTTATTAGAAAATACAATATGAAATGTAGTTCTGATTTTGTCCTTTTTTAGAATTTTTTATTAGGGTATGATTCACATATAGTGAAATGCATAGATCTTAATTTTACAGTTTGATTAGTTTTTATAAACACATACATCCCTGTAACCCATGCTCTTATCAAGATATAAGACATTAACCAACACCTCAGAAAATGCCCTTCCCGATCAACTGTATCCCTTCCTAATCAATCTCTACTCCCAGGAGCAACCACTGATCTCATTTCTATCAGCATAGATATGAATGGAATTAAACAGCATGTATTCTTTTGTGTCTGTCTTCTTTCATTCAGCATGATGTTTGTAAGATGTATTCATTTTGTTGCTGCCTTAGTAATTTGCTCCTTTTTTCTTCTAAGTACTATTCTATTATGGATGTATCTCAGGTGAAGGATTATTTCCAGTTTTTATCTATTACAATTAAAACTTCTATGAGCATTCATTCTTGTGCAAGTTTTTGTATAAGCATATATTTTCATTTCTCTTAGATAAGTACCTAGGAGTGGAGTTGCTGTGCTGGGTCATACGGTAGAGATGTATTTGACTTTTTTTTTTAAAGATTTTTATTGGGGAATTGGGGGATGGGAACAGCGCTGGAGAATTGGGGGAAGGGGAACAGACAAGTTGCTGTTCTTTTGTTCTTCAGTCTAGTTGTGGAGGACGTTGCTTCACTGGCCCAAGTTGGCACCATCATTGCACTCTTCCCGGGTGAGGCAGATCAGTCGTCAGCTTCTGGACGGCTGCTCACGGGCAGCGGCTGGCGGCTCACACCATCACCGGCGACTCATGGCAGCACAGCTCCAGGCTGAGCTGTTGTTCAGCATCTTAGCTGTAGAGGGCAGTGTCACTGGCCCTCATAAGTGGGATCTGAACCGGGGTCCTCTGGCATCCCAAGCCAGCTCTTAACCAACGCGCCACTTGGCCGACCCCGTATTTGACTTTTTAAGAAACTGCCAGTTTTCCAAAACAGTTGTTCCACTTTACATTCCCACTAGCAGTGTATGAGAGTTTCAATGGCCCCACATCCTTGCCAACATTTGGCATTCTCATCTTTTCTATTTTAGCCATTCTGATGGTATCTCATTGTGATTCCATTACTTTTCAAAAATATAATTTCTATCCCAAGTGCATAGATGCTTAAATAACATTTTATTTAATTTTGTTTGGTTTGGTTTTGAGCACCATAAAAGAGCATTATACTTTTTGTAGTCCTCTAGGACTTTCTTTTTTTCAAAACCATGTTTCCAAGGCTTATCCATGTTGTTGAATATAGTTATAGTATTTTATTTGTTGCTGCTACATAATATTCCATTGTGTGGCTAAGCCAAATTTTTTTCATATTTTATTAATTCTCCTGCTTATGGAAATTAAAATTGTTTTCAAGTTTTGCTATTATGAACATAGCTGCTATGAATATTTTTGTATGTGTTTCTTTCTGTACATGTGCAGGAGTTTCTCTTGTGTACATACACAGATGATTGCTAATTGTGGGAGATACAAGTGTTTAGCTTTGAGAGAGAATGTAAATTGTTTTCCACTGTGGTTGTACCAATTTACATTTTTATGAGCAACGTATGAGTTCCTATTAACCCCTTCAACACTTGTAATTTCTAGAATTATAAATTTTTGCCACTCTAATGGATTTAAAAGTATTTCTTTGTGATCTTATTTATCTGATTCCTATTCAGGTTGAGAATGCTTTTGCATATTTATTAGCCATATTTGTTTCCTCTTCTTTAAAATTCCAGTTGTCTTTTTCTTATTGACTTGCTGGAATCTTTATATATTCTTAAATCTAGTCTGTATTGGGTGTATGTAATGATAATATTTTTCTGGTTCATGTCATATCTTTTCACTCTTTTTATGGACTTTTTTTTTTTAAGATTTCTATTGGGGAATGGGGGGATGGGAACAGCGCTGGGGAATGGGGGAAGGGGAACAGACAAGTTGCTGTCCTTTTGTTCTTCAGTCTAGTTGTGGAGGACGTTGCTTCACTGGCCCAAGTTGGCACCATCATTACGCTCTTCCCGGGCGAGGCATATCAGTCGCCGGCTTCTGGACGGCCGCTCACTGCGGCTGCTGGCTACACACGGTAGCCTATGGCAGCCCACTGCCACAGGGACTGCAGCCTACGCCGTCGCCAGCGACTCACAGCAACCCAGCTCCAGGTTGAGCTGTTGTTCAGCATCTTAGCTGTGGAGGGCAGTGTCACTGGCCCTCATATGTGGGATCCGAACCGGGGCCCTCTGGCGTCCCAAGCCAGTTCTTAACCATAGCGCCACTCATCCGGCCCTTTATGGACTTTTTGATGAACAGAAGTTCTTATTTTTAACACAAGCTTATCAATCTTTTCTTTTAGTTGACTTTTATGATATATTCCTAATGGTACTTTTTACAATTACTTAAATTCATTTCTTCATTCTTTAGAATTTCTAGTTTGAAATGTTTTCATCCGTTTCCCCTCCCTGGTAAATCTCAAAGTTCTTAGGTAATTGTGCATCTTTTCCATGCTCATTCTTTGGGGAGTCATTTTCTATATTATGATTTTTCTTAATGATTGAGAGGCAAGCTCTAAAAATTCAGAGATAATCTGTAAAATTGAAAGCCATTCTTGGTTTATATGAGTTTTTTCCTTTTTAATCAAGACTTTAAAAAATTAATAGACTTTATTTTTTACAACAATTTTAGATTTACAGAAAAATTGAGCAGATAGTAGAGAGTTCCGATATGCTCCCCTCCCTGACCCAGTTTCCCCTAGTATTAACATCTTAAGTTAGTATGGTATAGTTGCTACAATTAATAGACCACTACGGATACCTTATTATTAACTAAAGTCCATATTTTATTCAGATTTCCTTAATGTCCTTTTTCTATTCCAGGATCTCATTGTATTATGTTACATTTAGTTATGCTGCTTTAGGCTCCTCTGGGGTGTGACAGTTTCTCAGACGTTTCTTGTTTTTGACAATCTGATTGACAGTTTTGAGGAATCCTGGCCAGGTATTTTGTAAGATGCCTCTTTTTAAAAATAGCTTTCTTGAGATATAAATCATACACTATACAATTCACACATTTAAAGCGTTTAGTATATTTTAGTATGGTTTTTAGTATATTCACAGATAAGTGTAACAGTCACCATGGTCAATTTTAGAACATTTTTATTACCTCAAAAAGAAATCTTGAAACCTTTAGCTATCACCCCTCCACCCTGCATTTCCCTCCCCTACCCCAGCCCTAAGCAGCCACTAATTAACTATCTCCTATATTTCCCTGTTTTCCATATTTCATATGAATGGAATAATATAATATGTGTTCTTTTGTAACTGCATCTATTGGGATTTGTCTGATGTTTTTCTCATGGATAGACTGGGATTATAGGTTTTGGGGAGGAAGATCACAGAATAAAGTATCATTTTCATTACATCATATCAAGGGTACATACTATCAACATGATTTATGACTATTGATGTTAATCTTGATCACCTGGCTGAGATGATGTTTGTCAGGTATTTCCACTGTAAAATCTTATTTTTCCTCCATTCCATACTGTACTCTTTGGAAGAAAGACACTATACACAGTCCACACTTAAGGAGTGGGGAGTTATGCTCCCTTTTATAAATACTTTTTTAAAGTTCTTTTCTAAACAACCAAGAAGGCAAAAGATTTATACAATGAAAACTATAAAACATTGCTGAAACTAAAGAAAAGAAAAATAAATGGAAACACATCTCTTGTTCATGGACTGGAAGATATAAAATTGTTGAAGTGTCAATACTACCTAGAGTAATCTACAGATGCTATGAAACCCCTATCAAAATCCCAATGACATTCTTTGCAAAAATAGAAAAAATCTATCCTTAAATATATACAGGATCTCAAGAGGCCCCGAATAGCCAAAACAATCTCAAAAAAGAACAAAGTTGGAGGACACACACTTCCTAATTCCAAAACTTACTACAAAGCTACAGTAATCAAAATTGTGTGGTACTGGCATAAGGATGAACATATAGACAAATGGAATAGAATAGAGAGCCGAGAAATAAACTCTCACCTATACGGCCAAATGATTTTCGACAAGGGTGGTAAGACCATTCAATGGGAGAAAAGACAGTCTTTTCAACAAATGGTGCTGGGAAAACTGAATATCCACATGCAAAAGAAGGAAATTGACCCTTAACTTATACCACATACAAAAAATTAACTTTAAATGGATCAAACTATAAAGTCTTAGAAGAAAACATTATGATAAAAACTTCATGAAATTGGGTTTGGTAATGAATTTTTGGTTATGACACTAAAAGTACAGGCAACAAAAGATAAAATAAATTAGACTTCATCAAAATTAAAAACTTTGTGCATCCAAGAACACTATCAACAGAGGGGAAAAACAACCCACAGAATGGGAGAAAATATTTGCAATATTTAATAAGAGATTAATATACAGGAAATATTAAAAAAAAACAACTCAACAACAGCAAAACAAACAACCCTATTAAAAAATGGACAAAGGACTTGAATTGACATTTTTTTCCAAAGAAGGTATTCCAATGGCCAATAAGTACATGAAAAGGTGCTTTGCATCAACAGGCATTAGGGAAATGCAAATCAAAACCACAATGAGTTACCACTTCATACCCATTAGGATGGCTACTATTTAACAAAAGCAGGGCCAGCCGAGTGGCTCAGTTGGTTAAGAGCTTGCTCAAGAGTGTGAGCTCTGAGCAACAGGGTCGCCAGTTCACTTCCCACATGGGCCAGCAAGCTGAGCTGCCAACAGGTGGCAGGATGGCTCAGCAGGTGTGAGCACGTGCTCCTAACAACAAGGCTGCCTGTTTGAGATGGTGGGCTACACCCGCCCGCAACTAAGACTGAACTCAGCGCCTTGAGCTGAACTGCCACCCGGGTGGCTCAGGGGCTAGAGCATGTGCCCTTAACAACAAGGCTGCTGGTTTGACTCCCACATGGGATGGTGGCTACGCCCACCCATAACTAATTGAACACAGCACCTTGAGCTGAATGGCGTGTCTGGACTTGGAGGTGAGCTAGCTGTGTCCTCCACAACTAAGATTGAAGGACAACAACTTGGCTGTTCCCCTTCCCCAATTCCCCAACACTGTTCCCCTCCCTCAATAAAAAAAAAGGCAGATAATCCTAAATGTTGTTGAGGATGTAGATAAATCATTATCCTTGTGCACTGTAGGCAGGAAGATAAAATGATGTAGCCACTGTGGAAAACAGTATGGCAGTTCCTCAAGAAATTAAACAGAATTACCATACGATCTAGCAATTGTGGGTATATATCCAAAATAATTGAAAGCAGGGACTTGAACAGATATTCATACACACATTTTCATAGCAACATTATTCACAACAGCCAAAGGGTGGAAATGAACGAAATGTCCATGGATGGATGAATGGATACACAAAATGTGGAATATACATACAATGGAATATTATTGAGCCTTAAGAAGAAATGAAATTCTGGCACACACTTCAACATGGATGAACCCTGATGACATTATGCTAAGTGAAATAAGCCAGGCAAAAAAGGATAAATATTGTATGATTCCACCTATAAGACGGACCTAGAATAATCAAATTCACAGAGACAGAAAAGTAGAACAGTGCACCAGAAGCTAGGAGGAGGGGCAAATAGGTAACTACTGTTCTATGGATACAGAGTTTTAATTTGGGATGATGGAAAAGTTTTGGAGAAGGATGGTGGTGGTTGTTGCACAATAGCGTTAATGTGCTTAATGCCACTGAACTGAATGCTTAAAAATTTGTAAAGGTGAATTGTGTTATGTGTATTTTACTACAATTTTTGAAAAGTTCGTTTCTAATCTTTTTATATGTCGTATTATAAAACTCCTATTGATGTGTTCATTGTGCTGACACTGGGAAGGATACAAAAGAAGAGAGTTGGAGTGGGGGGTGGCTGTCCTGCTCATGGGAAGTGTAGCATTACACAGCGTCCTCCGCTGGCACAACGCTGGGACACAATCCAAGGTAACGCTAGTAACCCCCACCCCACCCCTAGCAATAGTGTCTTGAAGCATTGATATTGGCTGTTCAGTGTTGACCAGATTCCTTTTATTGAAGCATTTGGGGCAAAAGGGAAAGGGTTGATAAATGGAAAGGTGCTATTTTGTGTGGAAGATTGCAATGATTTTTAGAGGAAGTACAGTTTATGCTTGCACTAGGAACAGGTTGGGAACCATATTGGGAAGTTTGATGATTTTGTATGATGTAGGAATTTCTGGAACTGTTACCGTGCCAAATAGCTGTTTGTATGCTAGTCCAAAAATCAGGAGACGAGACTGGTGGAAAGAAAAACAGGTTTATTCCAACATACTAGCATTAAGGGATGACAGTGGGTTCCTTGTCACAAAGACTGCCTTCCTCCTCTTAATACCACCAGAAGGTTTTATAGTCTCCTAAGGAGAAGCAAAACTAAGGAAGTTGGTCTTGCAATTCCTGGATAAAAAGGGTGCTTTCCAGAGGCTGATTTGTTTCAGGGATAGGAATGGATTTTACGCAGATGTGAAAACTTCTTTCAAGTCAGTGTTCTGGAGATTTCCTTGAGGAACCAGGGTTATTGAGCCTGGTATGCATACAGCCTGGAGTAAACAGAATCATGGAAACTGGTATGCATAGTAAATGTATAGTAAATGGAATCATTAAGGTTTGGCAGGAAGAAAGGGGAGCAAAGCAAAGGAAAAAAAAACCAAAAAACGTTCAAAAAGTCCCAAGCTAAACTACACTGTTAAATCAAATTACACTAGAGGTTTATATCTCAAAATAGAAGATACACTGAACTTCAGGTACATTTGTTCACTCTAAATTCTAAAAACAGCTTGCAAATTCAAATAGAAATGATTTGTCGGTTAATTGTGCTTAGGGATTAATGTACCCTTGTTTTACTTCATTGGCCTAGAGATGGTACAAATTTGTACAATTTAAAATGTTAAGCACAAGCTGAGAACATATGTTCTATGTCTGCCCAGATCATGATAGACTGAAGCATGGAAATCCGTGGAAGGTGAAGTGGATCCATTGGCACAACCATAAAATAACTGGAAAATAGCATTATCTTATCAGGATGAGGACTAATTGTGTCTGAGTGATAGTTCCTGCTCAATTTCAAAGTCCCATTATGCTTATCAAAATAAGGACTTTGTAGTTGGCAGTGGTTGGTAGTGGTGGCTTCACTGGCTGTGGAGATCTTTCTCCCGTATGGAACTTGGATGAAAAAGAAAAAACTCAAAGCATATAGTCTATAGTTTAAGTCTCAAACTGGTTCTATTTAATTTTCATTTAGTGTCTCCAAATTGCAGGTCTGAGCATTTGCTACACACTCAGTCCTAAGTTTTATATTCGGAGAGACTAAAGAAATGTTAAAGTTTTGCTCCTCAAGGAGCGTACAATCCAGCGAGAGATAAAGAGAAAGAGCAGTACAAACAGCTGAGGGATCCCAAGCCCACAGCAGCGTTTCTAGTTGTGATTTGAAAACCACTGCATCAGAAGCGGCAGAGAAGCATGTTAGAAGGCACTCATTCCTGGGCCGGCCCCAGTCTACTGGGGGTGGTGGTTCTGATGCACACAACTTTGGGTACTACTGTTAGCCCATCACGTGTCAAAGCAAGTGGGTACACGTTGCATATGTTTATATTTCCCTGTTTTCCCCTCAGTGCACAGTAGGGCCTGAACTGATTGATGTTCAGTGAATGAGGACGGGTAACAGCAGCTCCCTGAGAGCACCCGGCCTTTAAAAATAAGTTGAAGAAGCGGCTCTCTCCTTACTGCCTTTTACACTGCAGGGTGGGGGGTGGGGTGGGGGCTGGACAGGGTAACCGTTTTTATTCTTTTAAAAGATTTTTATAAGTCTCCTGCATTTCAGAGTCCTAATTTATATGGAACCTTCTCTAAGGGAACAATTTATTTTTTAAGCCACCTTATTTTCTAAAGTCTTTCAGCTAAGGTAAAGTCATGTGAATAACTTCTTCAGAAATCTTTTTTTTTTAAGCCAGTGAACGTGGACTAGAAAGGTCAATAGGAAATGAGTTCTCGAGTGGCTTCTGTGCTCACAGCCTCCTGCCTTGCTCACCTGCAGCTGCTTCCTCTGCTTGGTTTCAGGTGGAAAGCTCTCTGTGGTCCTGTGCGTGGAAGTCCTCCCAGATCTCTTGCTAGAACCATCCACATCTTTGCTTGCCAAGGTGAGAACGGCCCAAGGAAATAGTATCTGTAACATCTGAGGAAAGTTGTGATTTTAATTTTAAAAAATAAGGGAAGTGTTTGTTGGCTTGACATTTTTAGAAACGCCTGTGCTGAGTGGTATACTTTCCCTAGATTCATAATTACTTTAAAACAAAATCTCATTTGTTACAGCCCCAGCCCTTGCTTGGTCAAGTGTCAGCTCTTGCCTACACAAAGAAGTCAAATGCCTCTGCTTTCTTTGATTTTTGATTTAAATAATCCAAAATAGTTTATTAAAGAGAAGTCAGTTTATAGCAAAGCAGATACTAAGGTAAAGGGTTTTTTGTTTGTTTTGTTTTTAATTGCTCTCTAGAGCACCCATCCTGGTTTCTATCTCCTCAAAATATAACTTTTTAACTATGATTTTAATAGGGAAAGTTAAAACACCTGAGAATTAAACAGCTTTGGCCTTTGTGACGTTGGCTGCTGGGCAGTGTGGAAAGCCATCAGTAAAAAGAGCTGATTTCTGTAGTTCTGCGGCATCAACAGGGTGTTGTACAGATACCAGGCTGCCCTGGGACAGACACTGGTGCTTGTGATATGATGGAGGCCCCATACATCAGCGTCTGGCCTTCCGATTTATCAGTCAGGAACTTAAAACCCAGACAGGATAAGGTTCTAAGTGACCTGCTTCCTGGCTGACTGTATGGTCAGAATGCCATCTAAATTCATTTACAAGGGGGCGATAACTGCTATCAGTCATCAACTTGGGCGACCAAAGTGCTGATCAGAGAAGTATTTGTCAAGCAGCAACCTTCGACCCGGTCTCTCTGCCCTAACCCATGCCACGTTGTGACCTGGATCATCTTCCAA